GGTCGCCCAGCCCAGGGCGTCAGCTCGCGCAGCTCCACCGCATCCGGGGCGCCCTGCAGCAGTGCACGGTCTGCGAGGGGAGGAAGAGAAAGGAGGCGGGTCAGTGGGTGCAAGGGATGGGGGAGGGAGCCCCCTACCCTCGCTGTACCCCTGCAAACGAAGACCCTTGCTGGGACGCCAGACCTGGACGGCTTCTCGTCTCACTCCCAGATCCCAAATTTTCACACCCTCTTGCTGAACTGCTCATGCACCCTCTCTGGGCGGCACTGGAGGGCACGTACATACACCCCTACGCTGGTCCAGCACCCCTTTCTGAACCCTGAGCCTATATTGGCTGCCCAGAACCTGGTTCATCCTTTCTGGGCTCCTTTCCAGCCCGTCTCACCTTGAGCTAAGCTGACCGCGGTCTCTAACTCACCTCCTCTGGGCCCCTGTCTCACCCCATTGTTGCTCCACTCTCCTCATCCTCCATCGCAAATCTATATGGACCCCGCCCTTATGCTGGGCTGCCCCAGGACACTGGTGCACCCTCTCTGGGCAGCACGGGGGTGCTGCTTCCCATGCCCCATCCCTCTTTAGTGAGGCTGTCATAGGTCTCTATCTCTAGAGCCCCTTCTTCAGGCCCTGACGTTTGCTCTGAGTTTCCGGGTTTTTCAGACTCCCTCCATCGCCGCTGCCCCACTGTGCAGTGGAGCCTCAGTTTCCCTATCCAAGAAACAAATCGGGGTGGGTTTCTCAGAATGCAGAGGAGCAGCAGGTACTGCAGCCTACTGCATTCGAGGCCTGTGTGGGGCCCCCACTCCATGGAGTGACAGCAGCTACTGTCAGGGCCACCCCCATGTGACAGGTGACAAAACGGACCATCCCAAGATCACATCATTACCAGGTGGCCGAGAGAGATGGGCTTAAAGGACATTCTTCCTGCCTTCACCGTTCACCCAAGTTTGGCCCAGGTCCAGCCGCCTTCTCCCACACTCGTCAGGAGGTGCCCAAGTCACCGATTCCCAGGGCCTGGCAGCCTAAATTTATTACCCAAGCGCTGGCTCCACCCCCAAACTCCGAAGCCCCAGGAGAGAAGTGCAGACGCTGGAATGACAGGCAGCGCTACTGGCGGACCAGAAGGCAGGGGACTCCCAGCCCCAGAGCAGGTGGCAGTCACGCTTGTGGTTAGGAGAGGAAATCTTGAGTTTAGTCCCCACCTGCCCCCAGGGCTGGTGCACCTGGCTGTCAAAAGAATGAGCCTCTGGGTGGCCCTGGGGAAGGAGGGGCTGTCTGTCTCCTGGGGTTTGGTAGGGGAGGAGATGTCTGTTCCCACAGGGGGTCTCAGAAACAAGACAAACCCAGCCTCAGAGCCTGACTCTGCCACTTTCGCCACTTGCAACCTCAGGCCTCAGTTGCCCTGTCTGTTCCATGAAGCTTGCATGATCTCTGTCTTGCCTGGGGCTGAGAGGGTGGGAAGTCGGTGCGGGGGGGTGGCCGATGACTGAGCAACCTAGTCCGTGTTCTTAAAGCCATGGAGCAGGACTGGAGTGGCCGGGACTGTGCTGGGGGGTTAGTTAGGGGCATGCCCAACCCTAGAGGGGTGCATGGAAACAGACATTTGTGGGCTTGCCAGATACAATACAGATGCCCGGCTAAATCTGAATTCCATATCAACAATGAATAATCATTTTTTTTTTTTTTAATGACACGGAATCTCGCTCTGTCGCCCAGGCTGGAGTGCAGTAGTGCAGTCTCGGCTCACTGCAAGCTCCGCCTCCCGGGTTCATGCCATTCTCCTGCCTCAGCCTCCCGAATAGCTGGGACTACAGGCGCCCGCCACCGCGCCCGGCTAATTTTTTTGTA